AGGAATAAAATTTCTCTTCCGGTTACTTACGTCAGCCTGAGCGTGGAAAATAAAAACAACACACTAACTTTCAAATTCACTTACATTTTAGATGTCTTTTCTTTGTGTTTCACAAATGCAAAATAAAGGAAAAGTACAAGCAAAGACAAAATAAGAAAAAAAAACAAAAAAACCCAGAAAAACAACAGGAAAAGTAAGAGAAAAACTAACTCCGTGTCGCTTTGTTTGATCTCAACGAAGTGCGCTGGTAGTGTAAATTGCGCACGCGGGGTAACTTCCAATGTATCTCGGGCGCACTTCCGGTTTCTTTAAATGGTAAAGGAAACACGGTTTTTCATTAAATCCAGCCTGATTCGACGAGTTTTGATTAAAGCCAACGTTGGAAACATAGCTATGCATTCCCTTTTCAAAATCATGCCTTTTTTCAGAACATTACAAATTGTTCAATATTTTGAAATTCTCTCAAAATCTGACCTTGTAGAAAATCTATGCATAGCGTAATGAGGGTTAAATTAAAAATATTACATCAATGAAAAAAATCTCGTTAGAGCAATTTGCCTTGAAGCCTTGGCATTTTTTCAGTATTAGTCACATGACCAAGGGCGTGGCCTAATGACGTCATCGCTGGTGTTACTGATCATGAAAAAGTTAAAACACATGAAATAACTCTGACCTAACTAAAAACGATGGGGTTNCTCAAAATCATGCCTTTTTTCAGAACATTAAAAAATTTTTCAATATTTTGAAATTCTCTCAAAATCTGACCTTGTAGAAAATCTATGCATAGCGTAATGAGGGTTAAATTAAAAATATTATATCAATGAAAAAAATCTCGTTAAAGCAATTTGCCTTGGAGCCTTTGCATTTTTTCAGTATTAGTCACATGACCAAGGGCGTGGCCTAATGACGTCATCACTGGTGTTAATGATCATGAAAAAGTTAAAACACATGAAAGAACTCTGACCTAACTAAAAACGATGGGGTTATATGAGTGTAAATTTTCCTTAGCAACGGCTCGAAAAGGTCAGTTAATGGGCCCTTAAATTAATAACACGTGTGCGCCCTCCAACTGACTTCTATCCCGACTTAAAAACACGCGTAACAGAGTGTGTCTAGATTGAAAT